AGGCCCGAAACGTCAGCCTTTCTGCTCCTATGATGCTGCTTGGCCTGCTGTGTTCATCCAGCCCTGCACCTTGTTGTCTCGGATTCTCCAGCATCTGCAGCTCCTACTATCTCTGATTCAAGATAACCTCTCTTCATCTTTTATGCTATTCACAGGCAGCATGACAAGAATCTCACTATGCAGTGGAGAGATGCCAATTGATGGTTATTATTGATTGCTAAACACCTTGTTAATGCCACAGGTCACCCTGATTAATATTTGGACCCCTATTTATCAAACTTGTGAAACCAGCTCTATGTCAGGAAAACTCAACAAGGAATCTGGAGAGTTTGGCTGGAAGATTCAGCTTGCCACTTGCTCCAAATTACGTCTGTGATAGACACCAGGCAACAACATCTCAGGGCACCATTCATTGTCATTAGCTGAATGCACTCCTCCTTCATGGCCATTGGCTCCTGAACCAGCCAACCCATCATAACATTCTGACACTTCTACCATTTACTGGCAGTGCACTCTGGGAGCACAGAATTGCATTGCCAGGTTCACTCGCAATTAGCATAGAAAGGCTGTAGCAAGGGCAATATGTACACAGATATAAGCATCCAGCTCACAAACCGAACAAGGCTGCATCTCAAGGATGCTGTTTTGCTCTCTTAGCACTCACTCACTTATCACCCACTCAGCATGGTCATGGTATCTCTGCCTGTCTTGCCTTGCCAAGTCAAAAAGTAGTCACACAACCAGGCAGCTTGCATTGCTTTTAAGCAGTCCTCACCCTACAGACAGCATATCTTGCTGCATGGCAGTATGCTACATCAATTTCTCACCTGATTTCCATGTGCCAGCAGAGTACACAGCAAATGCACTTAAGGTGCACTAAGAAGGCAGCCATGCATTCAACTCTTGGTAGACAGCATGCAATGAAGTCTATGTAGGCAACTATCAGTCAGGTTCCAGCACAGTGAGTCAAGGGCTTCAGCCAGTCAGGCATCTGGTCAGCATGTTCACAGTCAGAAAGCCCGTGTCACTAAAGTCCCAGGAACAGACTACGGTTAGTCCATTGGCTCTGTACTGCCATGTCCAGGGAACAGGGTTAATGCTTTGAGGGAGATATATAGGAAATGGTCAGGGATCTGCATTTGGCTTGAGCAGGGTTTTCCGCTCATGTCATTTGATAAGTTGGATTACAGTTGGTCCGTTGGATCTTTACAAAGAAACTAAGGGCCAAACGGATGTCAAGAGTAGCATTGGTGTAGCAATGACACTCAGCAGTTTAGATATTCAGACTAGGAGTGGCAGGCTCTGGGCAGGGGCACAGTACAAAAGTGAAGGAGAACAGAAGGATTTGCAAAGGGGGAATATGGCAAAGCACTGCTGTGAAGGGTGAAATGTGAGAGGGGCAATGTCCAGAGGTCAAGAACACCCTGACTTCAAGCAGGGTGGGGGTAGGTGCAGTGTAGGATCACAATAGGCATTGTGACTTTGGATGCCAGGGTCTGGTGGCACAGCCTCCTCTGGTGATCCTCCAGGAAGAGGACACCTCTTGCACCAGCTCTAGGTCCCCATTGGAGAAACATGTTGCCATCTTCCCCTTCTCTACAATGTTCCAATTCTCTCTATCAATGACTAAGGCAGCTTCTGAAATGACAGTGCTTGTCCAGGTGCACAACATGCTTTTAAAAATGGCATGGATGCAAGGGTTGCATCATTGAATGAACTCCTTGATTGTATCGAAGGCAGATATCCATGAAATGGCAAGTAGCTGGAATGGCACATGGTAAGATGGGGTGAAAATCAGACAGGAGTGACACCATAAGGATGTGGTAGTTAATTAATGAAGCAAGTTCACTAAAGCAGGGCAAGAAAACTTGCTAGGCCTTATGTTGAGAAACACTCCAAAAACTTTACACCATTCAGACTTTGGAGAAACAAAAACGTAAGTTTCAGTCCATAGTAATTGTCATATCTTCAGATGTCTCTGAGCACTTCATATGACTGCATCAAGGTCCCAACAAGAATTGTGGAAGTGCTGGGGATAACTTCTAATCAGAAAATGTACTCTCGGTGCTGGTCAGAATTTGATTTTCCTGTGCGCTACCATGGTGAGTCATGACAACTGCAGAATTCCAACTCCTTGAATTTGGAGGTTTCTAACCCAATTCTGTCAACTCAGTTGTTCAAATACAGTAAGTTCATCTAAGTCCATTAAGTAAATCATCAGTGGCCTAGATTTCTCCATTTAATATTTTTCCCCATCCATTCTTACCTAATTGTATTCCTTATATTACTGTCTTTATATGAAGAAAGGACAGCAAACACCTGGAAGTATGTCCATCTGCACGTTCCCCCTCAAACTCACATACTGTTCTGACTTGTAACAACAGTTTTGTTCTTTCACTATCATTGCATTGAATTTCTGGAACGTCTTACCTATCCAAACCTAACAGCACTATTGGGTGTACTGTAGTAGATGGACTGCAGCAGTACAAGGCTGCAGCTTACGACCATTTATGCAAGAGCATTTAGAATTAAGCAATAAATGCTTCTTGTCAGCATGATGCTCACATCTCATCAGCAATTAGAGGAAGGTATAATTTATTTAAACTTGCACAAAAACAGAAGAAATACATTCGATCAGTTAAAGTCGTCATGAATTCTGCAGTTCACTAACCTATCCAAATGCTCCAAATTTTCTCTCTGTGTTGCTACTAAGGTTGCTACTTAACTGATGTTGTTAAATTGAAAGATTAAATGCTCCTGTGATCAGATGCAAATTGGTAGAAAAAGCATGCATAAATATCTGGCAAAATGTTGACCCTTATAGCCCTTGTTATACTTGAATCTTGGTAGTAATTGCATTCAAAATTGCTGTGAAAGACCAAAGAAACTGGACCATAACAAACTACAGAACATTTAAGGCAGAGTCTCAGGTCAAGTCATAATGGCTTGAAATTGCCAGCTTACTTTACATTTTCTTTAAAACTGTTTTCTATCTATTAGCTCATTTTAGGTCTTTGCATATATGATGCCATTGTTAATGTTAGACAGGTATGGATAAAATTCATAATAATGATCAATTGAAAAATAACATTTACAGAAATTTTGTCTGAAAAGTAACATCTTCTTGGTAATACAGACATTCATTAGGATAGGTTTCTTCTAATCCTTTCGTGCATTAAATGCTTTCTTCAATCATTGGTTTATCTCTGAATTCACACCTTTTGTCCACAAGCTCCAATTCCAGGTTTTTCAGCTCTGAAGGAGTTCTGTGTTGTTGGAACTGCCATCTTAGATGAGATGTTGAATATTTTTCAGGTAGACTTAAAAGCTCTGTAGCACTGTTCAAAACATTCGTGGACTCTGAAACAACATTTTTCCTCAAAATTGCAAGAAACATTTTAATTGGTCATTTATCTTCCTTAATGTTTGTTAAATCCTTATGTGTGCTAGTTGGCTTCATTGCATACTTCTAGGACAAGAATGATAAGAAATGTTTACAAAGTAGATGTGAAACGCTGTTGGACATATTGATGATATAATAAACTTGCTATGCAGACATACTTCTGTTCTTTTGTACAAGGTAGTTCAAGCCAGGTGAGAAGCATCTTACATAGTAAAGAATTAACATAACAGGGTAATTCAAGATAGGTTACTTATTATATGTAAATATCAGAGTTAACTATTAAGAATGGAGTATTGAATTTTTTTAAACAGGAAAAGGCTTCATGTGTGGATAATAATATAGATAGAGACAATTATTGGGGGTGGGGGTCTATCTGCTAATAACTAAGAGAACTAATCTAGAAGTGGGCTGTTAGTGGGAAGTCAAGGCTATCTGAGCCACCCCCTTTGCCCATGTTCCAATCACCTTTTAACCTTTCACTCCAGCAAATAAAGACGTATTGATCGCTATTACCATGCTATGGTTGAACCACAGAAATTTTGAAGAATATGAATTTTGGATATCAAGTTGTCAATGTGATATGACATGCACTACATCATTTATGATGCTGGGAAGCCATACTCTAGTCAGCCAGAAAATAGTTTTTCTAAGTCCGGCAGTACAAATATTTTTAAGGAATTTTGAATATTTTAAAGATGGCCGTTATTACGAT